TGGTATGGGCATAAATGTTAACGAGACACGTACACCAAAACTTCTTCCACGTGGGGCTCTTCAAGATGAAAAGATCGTCAAGATTTCTTGCGGTGAAAGTCACAGTGCTATACTTACTGGTAATTAAAATTCTGATTTAATCATTATGTTCTGTAAACTTTTCATTAATCGCATTATAATTATTAATAACAGAATCCGGCAAACTCTTTACTTGTGGCGATGGCCGACACGGAAAGTTGGGTTTAGAAGAAAACGAAAATAATGTTCACGAAGTAACATTTACTGCCAAGTATCAAGAGCTTTTCGTTTCAAATGTAATTTTGTTTGTTCTTCTTAAATAAATATATATCACATTTTTATCGCGTTCTGATTATTTTGCTGACTTTATAAGGTCGCTTGCGGAGGATGTCATACAATATTAGTTGGTCGAAGACATGAGATAGATTATCAATCACGACGACAGTCGGACTCCATGGTAAATGCAATTATATTATGCACAGATTTGTATGACAAATAAATTATTAATTATGTTTTTATTTTTAATTAATAAATTTATTTATGGGCTCTTATCAATTTTAGGAACAAAAAAAAAGTTCTCTACCTCCTTTAAAGCTTCCTATAAATATGCAGAATGAACATCGAATGGACAATATGGAAAAATCGACAGACGAAAAGGATAATTCACATCATCCTGATGAAAATAGTGAAACACCCAATAATAATGATATTCAAACGAATTCTTCGCCGAAGAAAGATTCACCAAAGGAAAATACAGATATTGTTAATAACGAAGAAATTTCATCTCCAGCAAAGGACGAAAAAATCACAAATTCATCTTCAGAAATTATTCCATCAGAAAGTTCTCAAGATAAAGATCAAATTGACAATGAGGATCATGATAATGAAAATATTGAAAGCAAAGAAAGTGATGAAAGTAAAGATATTAACGAAAATAATGAAAGTCAAGAAAATAATAAAAATGTGGAAACAGCAGCAACAATAGCACAAAATGTTGAGGAGTGTACAGAAATAGAAGTCTCGAGGATAGAAGAGGAAAAGGAACAGAAAACGACGACGAATTCTATACCACCACCGAAACCACCGAGACTAAAGTCTGTAAGCATCGAAGATGCAAGCGAAAAAGAATCTTCAAAGGAGAACGAAGAGAATGAAAAAGAAAAAGATGATGAAGAAATAAAGACGAGTAACGACGAAGAAAATTCAAGTACAAAGATAGCTAGAAAATCATTATCAACAATTTCGCAAAAAACTGTGGAAGCTATCGAGAATTCGATAGAAAAAGTCGAGGAAGATGAACATGCTGATGAATCAGAGAAAGCGCAGATAGACACGCAGGATGATGCTGATGTTGTGCAATCTCCAGCGCCGCGAACAGGTAAAACAGGCACATTTCTCTCTCTTTTCAGAGAATTAAATAAAATTACGTGATTGTGTAGTCAATTAGTAAAATTGTTCATCAAATGTATTATAGAAAAATTTAAATCTGAAGTCTCGCTGAGATGATATTTTTTGTAATAAGTACTTTACATCGACTTAAAATGCTCATTAGCTTAAAAGATATAATTATAAATTGTAAGTAATATATAATTAAATTGCTTGTTTTAATTGAATTTGTGATGTATGTAAATTTCTTAGAATAAAATCTCACTCTAAAAGAGTAAAAATACTGCTACTATTGAAAAAAAGTAAAATTTGCATTTCTGAATAAAAGTGGTAAATTTTTACTTTTTTAAAATAATATTTCATTCTTTTGGAGTGAGATAAAAGATCTTGCTTCAAAAAAGAATAAAAATCTGTCATTTTTGTATAAGAGTACAAATATTTTTATTCTTTTTAAGTGAGATTTTATATCAAGAAATATAGAAAGTATTATGTATAACCCTGATTTCAGTTTAAAACTGTGTTTTAAGACCAGCAAATCGGTACACAGTTCGCATAAATTAAAAGTTGTAAAATGAACTTCAAGAGTGGTAGTATTTTCATTCTTCTTTCAAAACTGGCTTAATTTTCTTCTCAAAATAAGATTTTGCTCCATAAGATTTAAACAGCAAGATCTACTTTAATTGAATAAAACCTCTACTTTTTCGCTTATAAATTTAAAAGTTTTAATTAAAAATTTACTTTGTAAAAAAAAAAGAGTTTATATTTTTCAATTAGTTGTTAATTTTATATTTGAATTTGGAAATAAAAATTGCATAATCAGTTATTGTCTTTTAGCTATGGCCAGATTGTTCAAAGGAAAACGGCAACAAGAGGTACAAAATGGAACTAAAAAATCAAGCAGCGCAGAGAAAAGCAATCCAAAAGCTAAGGTATAGCTAAAATAACAAAAATATTTCATAAAAAATATATAATTTTGTTATTTTACAATACGATTATTTACTATTAAATATTTTTCTTTGCATTCCAGTCGAAAACGTGCACAATTCTGTGATCAAGGAAATTTTGAAGAGACATTACAATTTATTATATTTTTATAAAATATATATACTTATGATATATATTTATCGCTGGGACCAAAACCGTTCTGGAACCGGAAATCTCCAATAATCGATAAAAAACAATTAAATATCACCAATCGCTGCATTGAATACATAGAATTAACATGACTTCTGTATTCTGGATATCGCGTAAATTTCTATCTCTCATTTACGGTGACGAGAATCTTTAATAAAAATGTCGACTAAATTAATAATGTCTTTATTAGACACTACAAATATAAATTATAGGAATTAGTTTCGTATTATTAGAAAGATGCGCCATAAATAGACATGCTATAGTATACAAAGTAGACAGCAGTAGAATGTGAAAAATGTATAGTAACATCTGGATAAACACATTTTATTAAAGTCCAATTACAAAATTCTATTCGGGCAATAACAAGCTTACTTTACAGTGTTTTTATCTTCGGAATAGATTATAAATACTAAGGCTAATTCTACAATATGCTTTTTGTTTCCTGTTTTTTGCTGTTTGGCTCTTGCCTTTTTGATCAAGAAGGAAAGAGACTAACAGCAAGAAATAGGAAACACAAAAAGCACATTGTAGAATTAGCCTAAAATGTGATACATAGTCGCATTGCGTCTTCGATGTATCACACGTTTGATTAATTGTCAAATAATAATTAATTTATAACGCACCGACGTCGTTTAACATTAAACGTAAGTATTTAAATTTGCCTTTCCAATCTTCTTCTATAGCTCTAGAGCTGCGTTCCTTTGATCAATTAACCGAAATTAGCTTTACACAAATACAAATATAGCGCTAAAGTTGTCGGTGCAATCGACCTTACTTCTAATCGACGTTGTTTCATCATACATTGCCGGCAATGGTATACTTAAATAACATACGATTACTAATATTGCACTAGATTTTATGGCCGAGTACGAGTGGGACACGTTGAGAAGAAGCATCGTCTTACGCGCTATCTTGTTGCGATCACTACGAGTGAAAGTTTCGTCCATTCGCATAATTGCCAATGAAACTTTTCTCCTCGTTGCTCTCTATTCAAGTGCATATTATTTATAAATAAAGATGGAATCACAGACACAATAACATATTTAACATGATCTTGGGATCTTCCGCGACACTGAAAATTATCAGGTAATTCCTGATTATTGTGCATTTACAAGCATCCATCAAATCCCAAATTTTTGCCTTTTCTTCCATAATTAATAATGGAAAATGCTACTGTATTACATTTCATTATAACTATACATATAATATTATAATGATTTTGTGTTACTTTCACATATTTTGTGAAAGATCATGAATATATAAGTGTATATATTATATATACATATATATATATGCATATGTATTCTTTGGCGAATTTGAATTCCATTAAATGACGAAACTTTCTGTTGGTTTTAACTGAATAAAAATGAAGGAAATGTTTTACATATAAAATACAAACCAATTTTAATTGTACACATATTCCGTAATTGATTAATTATAGTCCTCTTAACCGTCAAAACTTTGGTGTACGCAGTCACACAAAACGCATTTTATTACAGTATTACACCATGCCATATCATACTGCGCAGAAGTTCGTTCAACAATTTTAATCTTATTATCAATCAATGACGCCTAGCTTTAACTTTTAATCCGATTTTTAGACAAGATGACAAATCATTCACATATAACAGATGAAATATATATTTATCGTACACAGGTTAATTTATTTAACTTTTTAATATTTAATCAAATTAAATATTAAAATTGTATATGTACTCAGAATGCTTAAATTCAATTTGAACAATACAGTCCCAAACATTTGAGGTTAATTATATAATTCCAAAGTTCTCTAAATCCTAATTAGTCTAGAAATATTGATAAAAATACGTGATTTTTGTTTTTATTTAATAAAATTATAAAAATACATCCAAATAGATCCTAAGTTATGTAAATAAAAGATTCGTAATATTTCAGTAAGTTGCATAAAAAAGATTGTATAAGAATTGATTAATGAATAAAGTCTTGATATAAAAAGTTCTTTCTTTATGTAAATCTTCGATTCTTCGAGAAAATCCTAAAATATCCCGTTAAATACCTTTAATTACATAGCAGTTCCAGATTAATGATATTCTAAAATTCTAAATTATTCAAAGTTCAAAGTTTCCGGATCTTAATAAGTACCTTGAGTTTTACACATGTGATTTGAAATATTTAAATCCTAAATGTATCCAATCCTAATTGCCTTAATACCTGAGATTTCTGAATTTTGTTTACACAATACTAAAATTTTATTGATAATTATCAAATTTCGATCCTCAAAAGTTTAATGAAAAATAAATTTGTGTTGTTACTCAAATTAATGAATATTCATTTTATTTTCAAGTATTAATGAATATCTTGTTAGTATCAATATTGATTTACTTTACAAGAAATCAAAACTAGACGTCATTAATTATCATTCACTCTGTCAACATTCTTAGCGTCAGCGCTTCTACTAGAATTCACGCACAGAGTAATGTTCATCATACCTCTATACTCTGTTTCTCGTCATCATTATTGCTTAGTAAGATATAAGAGTCCCGACCGACCAACAATCGATGTTGGCTAGTTGTTAAGAAAGACGATCCTCTTCTGATGGTCCTCTTGCCAAGCTCGATCGCCTCATGCGCCAATATCGGACTATTATACACCTTTACGAATACCGTGATGATGACTGTCAGTCCGACTAGAATCATGCCATACGTCAAGCAAGGCACAGCGATGTCGGCAAACGTGGTCGCCAGGTAAATAAATCTTCTAATGGATGGCGTAAGCTCTTCTACACCTTCCTCGAGCCACATAATTGGGAATACTATATCAGGGAAATTCGCGACCACCGCGATATTGGATTGTCGTTCTATTTTCAGATTCAACTGGACACGAACCTTTGCTTCTATTGGAACCCCTAGTTTCTGTGAAAAAATAAAAAAAATCTTGATTATTCTAAATTTTAAACATGGTATTTTTGCTGTTTATCTTTTATTTAATTGCATTTCTATTTATTAATTACTTTTAAACTTTTATTTATTTATTTTTTTAAGCCAAGCGTAATTAACAAGCAAATTGACTATGTTCATACATATAATAACAATATTAACTTTTAATCTATAATAATATATTAGAACAGCATGGCATATTATAAAATTATAGGATTATATTTTCTTCTTTATGCTCACTGGCTGAATTTTGAAATATGTTTCGTGCAAGTTATCGACCGGTTTGAGTCCATCAATAGCATCTAACAATTTAGGATCCGCCTTATAAAAATGTGGAAACGAAAGGTATACTGGTGCACCTGGAATAAAAAACATAGATTTTATCTTTTAATAGAGTTCGAAGAATGTTCAAGAATTTTATTAATTTTGTAAAAGTAGTACACTTACTGTATTGGCATGGACTGATATCCTGCAAGCCTTCCGGAGGGCAAGTGTCAATGCCATCCGAGCAGAAGCAGTCATCATCTTCTGTAGCTGTTTCATTTCGAGTAAAAAGTATATCGGGAGGAGTGTATAAATCCGCCTTAATACCAGCCTTTTCTATCGGACCTCGATACTGCAACGGAAGTGTCCTACAGAGATCCTTGTCCCAAATGTGAACGATATCCGCGCCAGTCTGGTCCCGTGGCGGAAAGAAAGATCCTGCAAAGAAAATTCAAAGTTTACTCGAAATAACAGCCTATCAATCATTTGTAACGAATTCTCTTTATGTGCGATAAAGAAGGAAACGCTTAAGTATTATATATGTCAACACTGAAGATGGCTGAAAGCTGAGCTGAAATGTTTGTTTTCATCATTTGTAATTTAAACTTGAATATATTTTTATAATTACGCACAGTTCAAACTGTGTTTGACTATCACTGTGTATCACAATCAAACTATGTTTGACTATCACTAGCCTAATCTTTATATTTGTAAAATTTTTGGTTTGTTAGAACTTAAAAGTTCAAATAACTTTTCAATTTTTCAGTTTTATTTATTGCAGTGAAATCTTAGGGAAATTATACTATATACAATTTTAGCGTAGTGTTCCAATTTTATATGTAAAAATAAAAAACTATTACCTTCCGAAGCTGTAAGAGAATTGCACGGTGCGTTTGGCCAGTATGGCAAATGATCGAGTCCGTTCAATCGATTTATCAAACCGAACTCTTTCATGTCTGTATGTCCAGTGAATATCGTAGATATCTCGCTTAATGTACCGTTTCTCTACAATCGGGATTTGATTATAAATTATTCTAGACTGCAGTATTTGGCATATACAGTATATATGACATGATGCAATTATTTTGCATACAAGAAAAATATAGAAAGCGAATATATATAATGAATTTTACGTAATACTCACTCCAAGAAGAAGTCCCATTCTACTCATGGGCCGTCTTGTTTTGGGGAGAAATTTATGGCCTAGGCTAACTAATGGATCGTCATACCCGAAAACTAATTCCTGCGCAGTTATAGGAATGAAGGGTTTCATATGCAATCCGCTCAAGAAAATTGACAATCCCATTGTAATTAAACGAGGAAGACTCTTGCTTTGTGTTGAAAGTGTCTACAAACAAGTACTTGCTTTATTTATATCTTCAAGACTTCAAATACAAAGCAGAATGTCTAAAATCGATGCATATATATTGTATAAAACAGCTTTAAGAATTCAGAATTCTTTACAAAATATTTAAAACATCTTTTTTTGGAAACTTTTGAAATGCACTCGACTTTAGACATTTTGATCATTGGGAATTCTTGGTTTGAACACTCCAGTCAATATTTTATTAAATATATTAAAAATTAAAATTGATAAAAATATATTTATAATTTTCTATATTAACTCACCAGTAAAGGTATATTCGGCACTATCACTTTAATATCTCCATCTTCAGACAACTCAGGTACAAAATTTAAAATTTTCTTATGCTGATAACTAACAGTTCCATTATTATGAAAGACGATGTTAACTTTTTCCATATCCTCTCTGCAAAAGTATGTGTTCAATTTTTTCATTAATTATTGTTGTCTAACAAAAGGCGAGTTTTTTAATTCATCAATCAATCAATCGCGTTATGTACAAATACAGCTTTTACACAAGTTGCAATTGCACATAATGCGATTAATCAGTCGATAAATTAAAAAAACTTGCCTAAAGTTGCACGTATAAATACTTAATTTGCATGAATTATGCAGATTAGTTTGTACACTTTCATTACTTTGGAATGTAAATGCGTGTTAAAAAAAACTAAAATAATGATAAATAATATATAATTATTCGAAGAAAAATAGATTTAAAAGCAAATTTTAGAACTGTACTCATCGGTTGCCTGAACGCTAAACAAATTAATAGTCTTACCGATAAACGAACGGGCCTACTTCCTGGAGTTTCGGTTTCTCGTTGTACTGCAGGAAACCTTCTGTGTTAGTTACGTTAAATATATAGACTTTGGTCAATCGAATTACGCCCGGCTTCTGCCAATATTGAAACGAGATCGAGCCATTCCACAGTCGTAGTTGCTGGAAAGCAATGGTGAATTGCCGAGATTATTACCACCGTATACGATTTCTCTCACATTAAAGCTGCAATTTGTGCACGTGCACGTTGGCGTTGCATTTAAAGTAATTTATCATGATATTTTTATGCAAAATGGTCATTAATCAACTCAAAAAAAGTCATCAAAGTTTTTATAATCTTAGAAAATTGGATTATTAGCGATCGATATTATTTACTGCATTAATCGTTTTGTGGAACACCTGGAATTCTTACGTGAGTAGATTCTTGCGTTTCAAATGTCTATCTCATGATGCGATTCATATAATTTCCGGAGAAATTAAAAATAAATAAATAAAAATAAGGTACTGAGAGATTTGTTCTACTATTTTATTTATCATTGCCATGAGAAATCACTTTCAAGATTCTTTTTGTAAATAAATTTTTATTTTGGTTATCTTCCGTAAGAAAATAATGTGCGAAAAGAGAAAGTTTAAAAACGGAAATAAATCTTTATTTATGTTGCAAAGGTTGCAGTAATTAAATAACTAGACATGGATTAATCTAATCACTTTTCCGGAGATTAATCTAATCTCACAAATAGTCGAAAAGATAGAGCTTATGAAATGATATTTAAAAAAATCGTGTAATACATATATTTAACAGATATTAACTTATAACTGATAACAGTTAAATTATATATTTGTATATATAATTACTTAATTATAGTAATGATAAATTAGTAAGTTTTAAAATAAATAATATAGACAATAAAAATTAATTATATAATAATCTCTGAATTAAATTTAAAAGTTATACAAGTAGCACTATTCATATAAGAAAAATTGTAGTAATATATTTGATTCATAATTGGTATGTTGACAATCACTTGCAGACATAAATTATCTGCAGACGACATAACGTGCGTGCGTAATACGGCGTTGGACAATGAAAGACATTCCCGAAGGTATTTACTGTGAATGCAAATGCACTTCGCAAACAGTTGCCGTAAAAAAATGATACATTCATTGCGCTTGAACTTATTTTATCTAAATATGTTTGTTTTATTTATAATAAAACTATATAATTTCAGATAATTAATTGGTTTTAAAAGTAAAACAAAAAGTAATACAGAATACATCAAAATAACTTTATGATTGAACATAATTAAATTAATAAACAATTGTCAAAACAAAATTGCGTTTCAAAAATTCATTGTTAAATTAATTTACACTTCTTCCCTTTCTTCTCTTCTTTTTTAGAATAATAACTATACTTATTGTGATTTGTATAAAACATTCTAAAAACATAAATAAGAGAGCATTTTATATTCGCATTAATGTACTTTTGAAATTTTCTTCTTATCGATAAAAAACTAAGTACTCAATTTTTTAAAACATTGCAATGACTGTATCATGTATTTATCAAATATCGAACGCAAAGATATCGTTTCACGAATGTACTAACTAAAAGTTTCATACTTACTTTCAAGATGAGGTAATCGACCCACGGTATGCTACTGAGCACTATACCGATCACAAGTGCAAGAAGACCTAGACAGATTGCTGCTATCCTGCCTGCAAAAAAAAGTGATAGTAGCGTTAACGGTGCAGGTGTCAAAACGCACGACGTTAAATATGCACGCTCAATGCATGTTTGCGCAAACGATTTTTTTTTATGTATGTCGACACTATAGGCACCCAGTATTTCTCATAGAACAAGCATTGACCTACATTGAAAATTAGTATCGAGTATTGCCAACATTGTATGCGAATAAAACTTATATACGTATATCTAAAGAAAATTATATTGTTAGAGTTTCAAAAAATTATTAGTTTTTAAAAAATTTAAATGAAAACTAATATGTAACTTTCATTTAGTATATTCTTTATTCTTTATGCTGTAAATGTTTATTAACAAAAATTGTTATTTTAATAATGAAGTGTTTATTTAAGGCAAGATATAAAACTAAAAAATTACTTTTATAAAAAAAATTTTAGCAATTTAATTTTATATTAATAAGTGCATAAAAAGAAACTAGAAATAGAACAAAATCGAAACCCCCGTTTACTTTGTAGAATAGCGAGTATAACTTGGAGAATACATTACGAAACATATTTGCCAATAGTTTGAGATTAGAATCAAAAGATCTTAACATCAAGATACTTTTTTGTTTTAATCCGTATTATCTTTAATTATCACATAAAGTAATTAGATTTATTTATATGTATACAATTTGTACATATTTATATACCAAGTTATCTGCATATCTATCAATTTGAAAAATAGTATATTATTGTTTTATAATTTATTTTTAATTTATTTTTTATTACTATAGATCTATATAGAAATGTATAAAAATGTATTTTTGTTAGTGTGCGTAAAATGTGATTTTTTCGATTTTCGAGGGCACTTTTCGCACACTGCAACAAAAAATATTGTTCGGCACATGGGCGTAAATGTTTTTTCCTACGAATGTGCATGCGACCCTCGCCTTCGGCTCGGGACGCAACGCGCACATTCGCAGAAAAAACTTTTACGCCCTTGTATCGAAAAGTACTATTATAACGTATTATTTATAAGAACGCAATGTTATGTAATGTTTTTTTAGAATGTGTTTTTACGTCTTTATTTATATGTATATATAATAATATATTAAGAGTCTGGAAATAATGCTTTACTTAATTGTAACGTCATTAACGTTTTCATTATTTTTTTTATAACGCCGTTACATTGTTATAGCAACAGTAATAAATTCAGTAGTTACTTTTATATTGTTCTATTAATCTCTTATTATCTTTAGAACTATTCAATAGATCGCATTATTTTTAATTGTCTAGAAATATTTTATTATCGAAATTTAAAATAATATCATCAGACATGAAGGAGGGGAAAGGATAATTAAAAACAAAATTAAGTCATGAATTATTAAATTATTAAATAAAATAATTAATTAGCATCTCTCTAAAATAAACATTTTATACTTACGACAAGAATCAATTCTCAACTATTTCATGTATTTCTATATGCCTTTATATAAGAAATAAAAACTTCCCATGGCAACAAACAAATTAGAAATTACAATTAATCAGCATAATATTATGCATATAACATTATTATAAACATTTATGTAATATAATCATTAAAATGTTTATCTTCAGTTTGTGAGAACTTTTTTTTAATAAAGTTCTTAAATTTTCAGACGCAACAAAAACAAAAAAATGTTTATATTAACAATACGCCTTGTCGCATCAAGTTCATTAGGTACTTATTACCACATGTTTAGCAACAACACAGCAGGTAGTCTACGTTAGTAGTAGGCTATTCCCTCCTTTATTCCCTTTTACTCTATACGTATATAACGTAAATTCATAAACTGTAAATTTTCAGTATTGATAGTGAATATTGGAAGGCACTCTTTTAATAAAAATATTAATGTTTAAAAATAATTTCCTAAAGACAAACATATATTAAAAAATACAAATGTAAAGAATTATTGAAGATTTATTATATTAAATGTAAGTTTAATATAAACTAATATAAAGAAAAACTTGCTATAAGACTAGCTTGAAACTTTAAGTTTTAATATTAAATATTAAATAATATAATTTTTAAATTTTATACATATCTTACTATACATTATAATAAAGTAATAAAAAGATGACGAATCATTATTTTCTAATTGTAAATAACAATAATGCTAACGCGTTACTTGTATAAAGTATATAAGTCCTAATCTTGGAATACATACATAATTCAAAGAAATTTGTTATTCTTATTTTAGTGCACTTTTCAGAAAATTGAATAATAATTAAATAATTATTAATGAAATGTTTTGTAATAATGATATCGCTAAATGCGCTTGTTGACCTCAACACTTCTTGAGATAAACTTTTTTACAGCACACTTTATTTCAAAGATCTTCCTAGGAACGTTTTTAGGATGTTGAAACGTTCTTAGGATATCCTTCAAAAATTTTTGCTATATAAGGGTAAACATAACAAAAACTACGACAATTAATTTTTTTCTGAAGTCTGCATTTCGATATGTAGATATCATATATTATACCTATCTTATTTTGCTGAATCAATAACTATAATTATTAGTATTAGACTAAGAGGGTTGGATTATACTGGCCGTAATCTGTTAATTTATACCGTAATCTGTAAAAATTGACCAATTATAATCGATTATTCCCTTCTCATTCGGCTGTGATTGGTCAATTTTTACAGATTACGGCATAAGTTAACAAATTACGGCCAGTATAAATCAACCCTAAATCTTTACAATTTTTACGTACACGTAAATACAAATCACCTATCTTATTTTACTGAATCAATAACTATTATTATAGTATTAGACTAAATCTTTACAATTATTACGTACACGTAAATACAAATCACCTATCTTATTTTACTGAATCAATAACTATTATTAGTATTAGACTAAATCTTTACAATTATTACGTACACGTAAGTACAAATCAATATGTAAAACGAATTGACATCGACCGGTCAATATTTGCATATTTCATTTATAATGAATACTATACAATATTGATATTGCGACATGATATTATACAAAATACTTGTATTAACGCTTTGTCGGATATATTGTATCACCTATGAGATAACTCGAGCGGTTCGTTATATAAATTCTTACGAGATCCAGCATCATTGGGAATTCTTCAATGCGTATATAAGTCGGTCAGCATGCTTTCACTCCCAAATTAAATGTAGGACGCTAATGATGCAATTTGGAAATTGCCATCTAAAGCATCAGCGCAACGCATCACACTGCATTAAAGTGCAATATCATGGTAAAGTCTAATATAATATTTTATTTACGGCAGAAATGTGAGAAATATTTATACACTGTTCGGCTTTTCTTCCAATTAACCTGTGCTGGTAAATAAGTTCTACATGTATATACATCCTTTTCTTCTTTCTTTTCATTCCCTTTCTTTCCCTCTTTTTCTCTTTCTCTCTGTGTCTTACTGCGAATAAAATAAAAATACTCAAACTTTAAAAAACAGTTTTAATATATCGCCTTTTATACTTTTTGTTTTGTTTTGTTCTGTTGAATATGCTTCTTCAAACTTTATTGGTAAAAAAATTTGCCTGATGGCATTCAACGATCTTCAACAACCTTGGGTTACTCAATATCCATTATAATCATTACATCGATTAAATTATTTATTCTGCGAAGGACTGAATCGAAAATTTTAATAAATAGCCTAAAGCAAGATCGTTTTTCATGCTTCTTCCAATCTTCACCTTTTATATTGTCGAAACATTTTACATTGCTGTTAAATAGTTATCCGATAGACATTATTTGACGTTATTTTGATGTCAAAATAACAAATAACATCAATTTATTTGCTGCATTGTTCCTTCTTTAAACATCAATTTGTCATCATCTTTAGTTAAACAGAATTTTTTATTTAGCACAAATAAATATTTTTTTTATTATATTTTATTCGTACATACTTCTCAATCTATTTATTCATGTACATTGTAATTTTGTTGATTCAATGCTCCCTGTCAGTTTGCAGATCTGTTTTCTTTTAATTTATGTTTAAATACTGAGAAAGTCCAATTAAACAAATAGCAACTTATCTCTCCACTTCCATCTCTGTTATTTCTTACAGAGGAAAACATTCACTGTTCATATATACATAACATAATATCCGCATTCTTTCTACAATTATCCACCAATTGGTTCAATATAGAACTAATGAATATTACTAGGTGACGATCATAATTTCTCTATGATTATAGTTTTTAATACAATTTTTGCAAGCAATGATTTAACGGCTTAGTCCTGTAACTTAACATAAATTAAGATTAATTTGCACTTTGCAACTTTTATTGAGAAAGCTTATATCACGCAATAACAATTTAATTGTGAGCATTTAATTTGTGTCATAAGATAAATGTCGTGAATTTTATTTAAATTATTAATTTTCGTAACAAATGCAAGATTACTGCCTTAAAGCAATTTCGCAGGACTAACATATAATTATCAATTTGAGTATCGATTATAAATTCAATATTATAAGAGCTGATTGTACATGCATGTGTATTGTGAGATATCGTCTTAGGATCGCATAGTGTAAATAAATCTTAACACGAAGGTAATGAGCATTGCGATTGAAAGGGTCAACATCGCAAACGCAACGTTTGTTCGGCAATTTATAGTTCGCATACCAAGGAGAGAGTGCAAAATAACTCGCACTGCTCACACAAAGCTATGGTACGTGGTATTTGTTAACCATGAGTGGTATAAATTACCTCGAAATATTGCGTAACACCTGCGATCTCTCCTTTCTCAGATGCCAGCTACTGGCCAGACGTGCTGGTCTGAAGTTCGATTTCTTAATCTGACCTCGAGAAGATGCGTGCTTCAAAAATGCGAATCGATCTCGCTTTGATCGATCCCGCGTATTCTGTAAGCAATCATTTTGAATGGTACTCTACTTATCAATTAATCATTGAATTATTTTACTTCTACTCTTATTTTCGTTCGTAAAATATCAAGATGATTATTATCAAATTTACAATATTAATAATCAAGA